ATATACATATATATATATATATATATATATATATATATATATATGATATATGATGTATTTCATGTACGTATGATGTATATAAATATATGCTCTGCAGCCGTTAGATTCTATGTTTTAGTGCTCGATATGTTCTAATGTTCGGTGGAAAGGTTGAATTCGAGTGGTAGTGTAGTGCTTCTACTATGAATAGTTCAAGAAATCCTTCATGCCCTACCAAGCATAGCTTATGTACTGTTCTTCTATATCACACCCAGGGTGTCTAGAAAATGGGTACATAGATACAGCGTAGTTCAACGAGTACTTTGCATTCCACAACGGGCGATTGTATTGGTGGATCCGTTTCATGTGGCAGCTGTTGGGGGGTGGTGGTGTGGGGGGGGTAGTTTCGAATGTCTGCTTAATCATTATAGTGCTCATGTATATCCTTGTGGCCAGCTTGCTGTTTTATATATTGGATGCTACGCATTACATGTTCTGTGTATACAGGATCAGGTTGCTGTTTTATATACTATAGGCGTAGTGGGCAGAAAGTAAGTGTAAGGTGTCGTAAAAAATGCGGGATGGTCTGACGCCAGCATTTTATTTCATGGACTCTCACATCTGTACGCTATAGATGTGCAATCATCTGCTCTACAGCCTGTGCATGATCCGTATGTGTACTCCACTTAGTACACGCCGCAATACTTGTGATTATGTTTACGACCAGCTGCAGGCCGTGTGTGTATTAAGACATGTCGTATGCTCACTATGCATGTCGTATAGTTACCGAGACATGTCGTATATTAGCTGAGATGAGTGTTTTTAGTGAGGCATGTCGTAAAATCACTGCGACAAGCAGAATACTCGATGAGACTTATCATATAGTTACTGAAAAGACATGTCGTATATTCATTGAGACGTGTCGTATACTCCTTCTAAGACGCCGTAAACTCACTGTGAAATGTTGTATACCCCTTTGAGACATGTCTAATACTTACGATCATGTGCACAGGACGTCCCGTGGGGGGTGGTATGGTGGCGCCTCAGCACCCTCAACCGCTGCCACACAGTGAGCTTGCACCACCCGTCGAGTTCAACAGCGCCATAAACTACGTTAACAAGATAAAAACCAGGTTTGGACAGAGTCCGGATGTGTACAAGCACTTCCTGGAGATTCTCCACACCTACCAGAAAGAGCAACGGACAATTAAAGAGGTGTATCAGCAGGTGGCTACCCTTTTCCGGTAAGTTATAGGGATAGGTACTTCATATAACCAGTCACACGCACGTCATGTGGAAACCCGTCACACACTGCACCCGTTATAAGACAGGAGATATCTACAAGGTCTTTGTGTATACTAAAAGTCGTCGCACGTCATTGGCATGCTCAATACAATCATTTGCCAAGGTGCCTGGATTCACACCATTCTTCAGCACTCAGTAGGCGCAACCATGGGCACATCACACTTATCGTACCAGTCTACTCTAACATATAGATTGATGACTTATCGTACAAGTCTACTCTATCGTATAAATTGATGGCTCACCTTGCAAGTCTACTCTAACGTATAGATTGATGACTCACCGTACAAGTCTAGTCTAACGTATAGATTGATGACTTATCGTACAAGTCTACTCTAACGTATAGATTGATGACTTATTGTACAAGTCTACTCTAACGTATAGATTGATGACTCACCGTACAAGTCTAGTCTAACGTATAGATTGATGACTTATCGTACAAGTCTACTCTAACGTATAGATTGATGACTTATTGTACAAGTCTACTCTAACGTATAGATTGTTGACTCACCGTACAAGTCAACTCTAACGTATAGATTGATGACTCACCGTACAAGTCTACTCTAACGTATAGATTGATGACTTATCGTACATGTCTACTCTAACGTATAGATTGATGACTTACCGTACAAGTCTCTACTCTAATGTATAGATTGATGGCTCACCGTACAAGTTTAGTCGAACGTATAGATTGATGACCCACCGTACAAGTCTACTCTAACGTATAGATTGATGACTCACCGTACAAGTCTACTCTAACGTATAGATTGATGACTCACCGTACAAGTCTACTCTAACGTATAGATTGATG